TGCCTTGAGTAAAAGTCATTGCAAGTGAGACTATAGGCCGTACACAAGCACTACGGCGTGCTACATGCAGGTTTCTGTGGCATACACTGCACAAACACACGTCTTTACTGTTGGATTCGCCCATCTGCATGCGAATAAGCTCCTTCTGCCTTCACCGGTGCTCGGGCCGAGCCCTTACGGGGACATCAAACGGCCTTCCGTGTGGTGACATCGACCCACAAAGGGGCGACACAAGCTCTTTGTGTTCAACCTAATAGCAATGGGGTGCGCTTTTAATCTGGGAATTGTTTCATCTGTTTTCGGGAATATGTTTCAAAAACATTGGGATAGAGCGGGTTTCTTATTAGCAGCTAGCTAATTACAGCAATTTCGTGTCCTTAGCAGAGACACGGGTGTCGTAGCTGGCCAAATACATTAGAATAGTGCAGGTTTCACATTTGGGAGCTGTCGTAGCTGGCAAGATACATTGGAATAGTGTAGGTGTCGGATAAATTCCTACCTATCACAACAGTTGGGTGCAGTTAGCAGAGAAACAGCAAAGGGCATATTTGGTTGGTTAGAAGTTTTTGCACCGGGGAGTTCACCTTAAAATATTGATTTCGTGGCAGGCGCGGGTGTCGGAGATGAAGTGCAGATTTCGTGGCGCACGGGGGGGTTGGGGGGGGGCGCAGCGGCCCCCCCAGCAGCACACCAGATCCAAAGGTGAGCAGCTCGTGCTTGCTTGCTTACTTGCTTGCTTGCTTGCTTGCTTCCTTGTTTGGTTTCTTCTCTGCAAAGCAAACAAATGGAAAAGCAAAAACAAAGAGAGAAAGGAGAACAGCTGCCAAAGCAGAAAAGCAACAAAAGCAAAGAGCAGAAAGACAAAAACACAAAAAGCAGAAAAGCAACAAAACAAAAAGCAGCAGAAGCAGAAAAGCAGCAAAAGCAGAAAAGCAGCAAAAGCAGAATCCAAAAAAAAGAATGAAAAAAAAAACGAGAAAAACATATCTCTAAAAAAAAAGCCCCTCCATAGCAATGGCCTCCAACCTATTAGCAACGCAAGCTCTTTGTCTCCTTCTTGCTCTTTTGGTCCAGGAGGAAAGTCGTTACCTCCCAATATGTCCCAAAGAACCCGTCAGGGTATTATATAATCCCAGCGTGATCAGCGATATGATTTGATCACCCCACCGCAAAATTAAAGTTCGATCATTGATGTTGACATGGATTGTGGGACTTTGTCTGAGAACCTAATCATACTCAGAGCGCTTTTGGCATTTCCGGTGGTACCAGTCTCTCAGCGCAGCATGAACACTCTAGAAACGCTTCGACTCGGAAGTGAGCCGTTCCGAACGACCTGCTTGGCTGTTACGCCTGGTCCGACCACTCGCGCACGAGAGGCGCAGGTTGGAATGCTTCGAGTCGCCAATTGGGCCACCTCTGTATCGTTCCAGAGGACATAGGCGCATGAAGGGTTCTTCTCCTTCCAGGTCTTCACCTCGAAGAAGCGATGCCAAGCTGTCGGAAAAAAAATAAAGGTTTTAAGAGAAAGCGTTGGTCTATTTGTTCGGGCCGACGTCCTACTTAATTCAGTAGGAGCTTACTGAATTAAGTTTGCTCTTAAGGAAGTTCCCCGCGCCTGAGGGCCGGGGGAGCTTCCTTGAAGAAGCCCTCGCACCAAACATTTGGTTCCTAGATTTTTAGGGAAACTTAAGACTTCAGGAACGATGGCTTAATACATGCTGTGAACTTGAAGTCCCTGCGTGACAGCAGAGTCTGCCTGCTCAGAACCCCGTTCTGGATCAAGATCCATAACTCCAGGTGAGAACATAGACACAGGGATCGAACAAACATGAGTTTTTCCGACCGCTGAGATCCTCCACCAGTCACAAAGGACGGCCTTTTTTCACTCCTTCGAGCAAAATGCCAACAATTTAGACGCGCCAAATTTTCACTCCGGCGCGTTTCCACACCGAGCCGAAAGCCAAACCTGAAAACCTTCGACCAACACGCATCGCTTCTAGTAACAAGTGCCTTACTAGTAGTAACAAGGACGCTACTAGTGCTTCTAGAAGCTACTAGCTTTCTTTAGACCTTTAGACCGTTTTAACATGTGACCTTTAGACCGCGGATCCGACCAAGTCCGCCATCAAACGCCGAGCCACATGGCGCCGCGCTTCCGGATCCACCGTGTGGGTCTTCCAAGTCCTTAGCTCCACACGGACGAGTCTCCGCAACAATGGTTTTCTTTTTTTGGCCCGCTCCCCCCCTCCCTACTTAATTAAGTGGGGCGCCTACTTAATTAGGTAAGGAATTGAGGTAGCTACTAGCTGCAAGTAAGCTACTACCTAGGACGCAGGAGAGCTCGCGCTAATGATTTGGTTCCTAGATTTTGTGGGAAACTTAAAGTGTGACCGGTGTTCTTCTTTCACAAGAGTCCACGAGTTTCGGGCCACGGTCTCCCGGAGAAGTCGAAGCAGAAAAGCGCCCCAAATGAACTCACCTTCCACCAAACTCCCAGACTATCGCCTTCCCATCGAAGAAGCGTTAAGATATCTGAATCTGACCCATCCTGAAACAGATCATGAAGGCTTAGGTCGGAGGCCATCGCTTCTAGGTTGACTCGCAGCCCCCCCACCGCCGGTCACGTGACGACCGGCCAGTGGTACTCGCTGGCGTAGCCAGTGGTACTCGGTGAGAAAAACCATATCAACACCCCGTAGCCGCAGCCCGTCCACCAGCACCTTTTTGTCAGCGCCTTTTTGTCAGCCGGACACGGGTGAAATTGCAACAAATCCGAAAACCAATTGACAGGGTCTGGCTTCGGATTGCTTCGACTTTTTCAAACACTCAAGAAAGGGACGCGAGGAGGGAGAGCGAGAGGGAGAGGGACTCCCACTTCACAAAACCAATTGGGGAGTGACTAACCGCGGGAACCGCACAGAAAGAACAGGGCGCCAGGCACCGACAAACCTCCTAACCTCCTCGGTGGTTCCTAGTAGCCCAACAATCGAACCCTGGAATCGAACCCAACACCCTTGTTCCTAGTAGCGATGCCAGGAGCCCCTAGTAGCGTCCTTGTTCCTAGTAGCGATGCCCTTTGTTCCTAGTAGCAACAATGCTACTAGTAGCTGCTTTGCACCAGCGGAACCGGAACCCAACAGTCGAAAATGCTGAAATCCTCCGAAGCACTGGTGGATCGTGCATGGAATCTCGCTGGGCCCTACCTTGGACTGAATGGCTCAAAAGGAAAGAAGAAACAACTTTGTTTTCCCTGGTGATCCAAAAGGATTGTACTTAATTTCAATGACTGAAAAAAAGAAAATGGTTTGTTTCTGGCTCTGGGCAATCTTAGAGAGAAGGACAGTGGCTTCCTTATTCTTGGCTGTTCAATTTAGACCAACGTTGGGAAGATGTTTTTTTAACCTTCACCTGGGTATGTCACCATATATCCATGATGACACATCAAAAGGGGCTGGACGGCTCAAAATCCTGGACGCCGTCTGAATCCGAAGAAGAAAAGCTTAGAATCCGCGTGAACAGGTTTGGGACGACAAGTCCAAAGAATCACGACAAAATCCTTAGCAGGTTGCATGGCTGTTGTGGCTATTCCTCTGCAGGAGTGAACATTCTTCTCCTCGAGCGAAGAATAGGGGAGCCTCGGGTGCGACAGCGAGGGAGGGCGTCATTGGCTCAAGGGATTGAAACCGGAAAGTTCTGCGATTCGAGGAGAAATGCAGGAAATACGGTGTCAACCGGTGTCAACCCTCAAAAAATAGAGGATGTCATATGTGATCCTATCATCCTGATTTTGAGAAGCTTGGTGTGCAAATCTTGACATTGCTCCTACCTTCAAATGGGGTTGAGACACTAGCCCCTCTACCCTAAATCGTCTGGAAATCGTTTCGTCAAACCTCTACCTTCAAGCGTGTTATTCAGCCTATGGACCTGGCAAGCCATGGCCAAAAAATTGTCCTTTGTTTTCTTCTTTTCTTTAGACCTTGCTTGTGTAACCTAATAACGAAGGCCTCCAACCCAATTGTCCTCTTCCATTGATCCCCATTGACGTTTTGAGGTGTCCTTTTTGCGCGAAGTGATCATCGGGTCGACAGCGAACGCCAAGGTGCCAAGAGGACGGAGAGGACCACGGTGCGAGACATGTCGTTTCAGGATGCGGTAGGCGATGACGGTTTGAGCGACAGGCTGCGGTTCAACTTCGGTGCGAGAACCTTCTGGTCGGAGGTTAGAGGCCATCGCTCATAAGTTGGAGGCTATCGCTATTATAGGTTGGAGGCTATCGCTCATAAGTTGGAGGCCATCGCTAGTAGGTTGGAGGTCCAGGTTCTTTGGGGTACCCTACCGACCCACCAAACGTGCATCCTCAGCAGAGCAGCTACTGCATGTGTTGGAAATGCACCTCCAAACGGAATTCTCAGAGGTGGAAGGTGAGTTGTGGAACAGAAATTCTTCGGACACTTGGTGTCAAAGTGTTCAGTACTACGTGTACGACCTTTTGTCTGCAATAGACAGAGTGTTCGACACAATGGTTGGCAACCCATTTGGGACACACGCCGCACGCCTCGTCTTTGAGCCGACAATGGACCGAAAAGTCTGGTTTTCCTGTGTAGCTCATTCTAAAGAAACATCACTAGCCCACCCTTTGGTCAGTCGGCTATGAAGTCTTTTGAGACAAGCACGTGCCTACATCGTAAGAACATGTGTTCGGTTCAAGTTTTCAGGGGTCTGTGTCAGCAAGGGACCCCTCCGATCGGCCTCCGAGAGGTCTACTGGAGGCCGTTGGCGTAATTCACCGCAAGCACCAATGTCCCCAGAGCCCAACCAAAAGGATCCATTCAGTCTGCTCCTCCCTTCGCTAATTCCAGCCCAAGAAGCGACCAATCGCTTGCTTGTGTTGCTTCTAGGAACTCGAGACTCTGAACAAGAAGTCGTGTTCTTCCGCGCGCAGCCGACGTCCAGATTCGTAGGCCCGTCGAACAGCCGGGAAAACTGCGCGCGGCCGACGCCTGCACCCCGGCGGAGCGGCAGGCAATGATCATCTTGACAAGCTGCTCCTGAACAAGAACACGACTGAAATCGTGAGAATGATGACTGGTCTTTTGATGTTTTAAGCGTGCCACGCGTGGGAGAGGATGTGTTTCCATGAGATATCGTGAGTGTGGAGTGATGGTCTTCCTTGTTCGCAACCAAAGATGGTCCCGTGTGGAGTGACGGTCTTCTTCGGCCGATCCAACTGCACGGGCTCCGAGACACCCACGACTTTGGCTATGGCTACTAGCGATGGCCTCCAAGCTGGTAGATTCTTGCTCCGTTCGTAGCGATGCCAGGAGCCTAGTAGCTTCTTGAGGCCAGGAGCTGCCAGTAGCTTCTTGCTCCGTTCGTAGTGATGGTCCTACCCAATACATTCAATATCTATCATGTCATTGCATGTCTGTTTAAAAGTGCGGTTATGGCACCGTTTTTTTCCACCTTCTCCGTGTCAGTTCTTGAACTTGAAGGGACATGCAAAAGAACCCGTCTAGATTCCCACCTGGACCACTTCACTTGGTGTGATCAAAGGTGTTTGATTCTCATTCTCCGCTTGGTGGAGTTTCAGGAAAAAATGTCCCTGATTTGGATTCCAGGTGTGAAAAAACATGACATTTGCTGGGACAAGATAAATGGGACCCCAAACACCTCAACCGATTCAAAAAAAGAAACACGCTTGAACATTGAAATGTTTGATGCTGATTTCTGGGTGAATATGTCACAGGTGGTTACAAGCCGAACTACAAAGGCCACATAAAATGCAATCAAGGGTCCATATTGCCAGAACGGCTGTTGAGTCCAAAGCCTTCCGCCAAAAGCGTGGCAAACTTGGAGACGGCAGGCCGGAGATGGTGGACGAGGGCTCTTGGAAGTTCACAAATCATTTCCCCAAGTTACTTTAATCCGCCCCCCAATGCTACTGTGGAGCCGATCCCTACTAATTAGGTTGGAGGCCATCGCTAGTAGGTTGGAAGTTGTCCAATCTCGATCCCCTGCTAACAGCGACCATGCACCGGGTTGGTACATGCCCCTCCTGGAACAGCGGTTCTATGGTTCCACTTCGCACTTGGAGGGTCATCTTAGGTTCACATGATGCAATCTCAAGGTAAATACCCTGATATGTGCTGTGTCACCTCCGCAAGTGAATCTTGACTAAATGTCTTATATACTGTAATTACATGTTCATTTACATACCACTTAGATTAGATCTGATAAAAGCTTTCATGGATCTAAGTACAAACCACCTTATGGCACCCAACTCCACCCTCAAATGCATCTTGCTCCCGTCTGTGCCTATAGGCTGATACTTGGTGTACCACTGGGTCCCCAGGATGTGCTCTGTCACCGGCGAGATTTGCACACCGCTGATGCCGTTGGGCCCCAAGTATCGCACGCACTCCTCAACGCCCGGAAGGAACGACGTAGAAATCCGTTGTTTCGCGTGTGAGTCCGAAAACTTCACGGCTTTCTCCACCTAGCCTTTGCACCAAGAAAACAAAAACAAAAGAAGCAATGGCCTCCAACCTACTAGGGATGGCTTCCAACTACTAGCGATGGAATGATGGCCTCCAACCTACTAGCGATGGCCTCCAACCTAAGAGTGATGGCCTCCAACTTATGAGCGATAGTCTCCAACCTACCAGAGATGGACTCCAACCCACCTCCAACCCACTAGCGATGGCCTCCAACCTAAGAGCGATGGCCTCCAACTTATGAGCGCGATACAGAGATGGCCTCCAACCTACTAGCGATGGCCTCCAACCTAAGAGCGATGGCCTCCAAGTTATGAGCGATAGTCTCCAATCTACCAGAGAAGGCCTCCAACCTAGCCTTTTGTAAAGACACAATTGAGTTGTCCAGAGTATTTGGTTTACATTCACTTTCCTTACCATGTATGACATGAATTTGCCTCTGCCTAACATGCCGATTTGAATGAGGATGACAGGAAGACCAGGTGGTGGAAGGGAAAGACTATAGCGTCCTTGCTCCTAGTAGGGTCCTTGCTCCTAGTAGCGATGCCAGGAGCCCTTAATAGCTTCTTGTTCCTAGTAGCGATGCACTTTGCTCCTAGTAGCGTCCTCTACCCCATGATCCCCGCACACCCGCACACTTGTCAATTTTTTCCGGTTGCCATGACAACCTGAGTTCGACCAAGTGGCAAACTGGTTCTTCAAAAGAGAGAGCGTGGTATGTTTGGGCGGTCGCCGGCCGGTTTTGGGCAACTACATAGTCCTCTTGAGTCTTCTTCCCCCCAGAACCCACCCCCGTCCCATTCGAGTTCCGCTGTTCACGGTCGCCTTGGCGATGTCCTCGAAATTCCACTCCCAAAGCTGGATGTAGACGGGAGACCTGGCGATCGCAGACCGGATTGGGAAGAAAACACGGGTCTACAGCGGTTTACACTGTGACCTTGGTGTTCGGCGTCCTCAACCAGTTACGTTTTCACCGCCAGTAGCGACCGGATCAGGAGAGTAGCAATCAATTTTAGAGTTGAGACTACTTGCGCCGTGCAGGGTTGTTTCCACATACGGAGAGAAAAGAACAGCCCATTCGCAAAGCCAAAATCAAAATCACGGAGAAAGGCCACGACCGAATGGTATTTGATGTGACGTGGTGACGTGGTGACGTTCAACGGTATCCGTGAGTCAGTGGCATGAGGCTGCTGCATATCCGTTGGGATTCATACCTCGAGGCTGCCGTGCAAGTGTCGGCCATCGCTACTAGGTTGGAGGCCATCGCTATGCAGTGAAAGCCGTTGGGAAGAAGAAAGAAATGAGAAAGGCGGCTGGTCTACCTCGGCGATGCGCCTCCGCTGGGTGCCTTGGTAGCCTGCCGCCTCCTCATCGTAGTCACAAAGCTCGCTGAACAGCTCCTGGTGCGAAAGAACTCCGCCTCTTGACAAGAATGCTTCTGAGATGGCCTCTAACCTACTATGGAGACTGCGACCAGGTTCGGTATGCTTTGCCGAAAAACCTGCTCTAGCTATGCAGCTATGCGCAAACAAATGCATTGAGCGGACCACTTCTGAACCAAATTCGCCAGTGATCAACAGAAGCATCACCAAAAACTCATAGCTGGCTGGGTCAGAGGTGGATAAATCAAGACTCCAAAGACATAGTTCACAAAAATGGGACTGGGAACTGTTCATCCCCTACAAGTGCATCTTAACTGTTCACTTAGCTGACCATGTCCCGTTCGCAAACGCACATTTCCCACCTTGGGCTGCGAAGAGGTGGCAGAGGTCACCAGGTTCGACCGGCGCTCGCAGCGCCAAATCTCACAGCGCCTATGCGGCGCCGAGAAGGGACGAGTGAGTCGGTCCGCAGTTCACAACTAGTAGCGATGCACTTGTTACTACTAGCTTCTTGTTACTACTAAT